AACTGCCTCTCCGTTAACTCTTATTACATTCTTGGCAGGACTAGACTTCCTGTCTCAGGAACATCTCTGGAGTATTTTCCCCCACCTTTGCTGGTACTTTGCTTGTGTGGAGTGACCATTCAGTTACAATGGCACTAAAAAAAGTGACTTATGACCATTTTTCACACTTATGACTGTTGCAGCATCCCCACAGTCATGAGAAGCCAGGCGAGGAGATGCGTGCCTTGATGTGAGTGATATTGAGTTGGCCACACCCAGCCAATAACATGGCCACCAAGCCATGCCCACCAACTAAGCCATGCCAACAGAACCAGTTGTTAAAAAATTTGAATCCCACCCCTGTATATATAGATAGATATATATTTGTAATTTCACTGCCTCTCTTGCTAAACTAGGAACCTGGAAAACAAGCAGACAGGGGAAAGACTGAATACCCCATTGTGCTTCATTAGGAAGACAAATGAACTCTTTAGAAGAAAGATGAGACTTTACCTGAGACAGTAGAGAGAGAAAGCCACAAGGGATATGGTGTATATTCTTAAAGCAACTTGATCTTAGTGCTTGTAAAAATAACCCTCCTTAAGAGAACTGCATCATTACTGCAGCTGATTCTAAGGGCAAGTTTTATTGCTCCGCCTGATAATGAGGTTATATCTGTAATCTCCACCTAGCTAACTGAGAGAAAAGGGTGAGAATATTTGTCAGATGTTCCGTTAGAACAAAAATGTTTTTTGTTCGCTTTCTAATTTGTAGAAAAGCTGTAACCTTTAGAGAAAGTTCCATCATAGGTGTCAAATTATAGGCTGACCTTTCTATTTTTGTAGCATCATAGTGCAATGGAGAAAGGATTATGGAATGCGATATAAACAGCTTTTCTAGCAGAGTTTTTAAAGCTTAAATAAATTGTTTCCAGGATGTCTTCTTGTCATCTTAAATAATTTTTAACTTATTGTATTTGCTCTTCTATACAAGGAGAAAAATATGTGACCAGTGAATAGGTTCAAGTAACAATTGATGATAATTTTAGCTTGGATGTAGGAACTCAAATTCAAATCTTCATCTAAGTATTATTGGGCGAATTGCATGCCAGCACTTATAATACCTTGTGGTTTGTTTCAAAGGGACAGGGCGAACAATGCTAGGGAAATTGTGTGATAAGGTGAGCAGGAATAGATAGCCATTGTTAGCACTGGAAATAAAGGAATACAAAGAAGGGCAGTTCCACAACTGGTAGCAATAATTATTACAAAATAAACATAATGATTAGTCTGCACCACCACAACCACTCCAAAATAAAGAAAATATAAGCTTTTGTGGTGCATAGCACACTGATAGCTGAAAGTGATGTCAGGGAGAAAAGAAATAAATAAATGAATAAAATAATCAAATACAAAGCAGGATTTCAAAAACTAGATAAAGTACTTCTTCACATTATTACCTAAGTGAAACCAAAGAACATTTTTGTACAAGTTGCAAAACACTAATTCAAATCCTGATGATGTCCTAGAGCAGGGCTGTCAAACTCCTGGCCTGCGGGCTGGATGCGTCATGCATTGGCCGTGCCCACGCCCGGTTTAGCGAAGGGGGAAAAAGTCCAGATACGTCACGTAACGCTGCCATGATGATGTGAGTTTGACACCCCTGTCCTAGAGCATCCTTGTTGGGAAAGGGACTGGGCAGATAATTTTTATCATATTTTATTTCTGATGGTTGCTTTAAATAAATGAGTTCATTTGTACAGCTGAAGAGTACTTGGCCTATATAAATAGTCCTCAACTTATGACCATAATTGGGAGAGGAATTTTGGTCTCTAGGCAATGTAGTCATGACCAAACCCAATTTTACAACTATTTTTACCCCAGTTGTTAAGCAAATCCAGCTTCTGCAAATGACTTTGCCTGTCAGATATCGCCTACAAATCACAACCAAAAATGCTGCAACAGTCATAAATATGGGCCAGTTACAAGGTGCCTAAATTGCAATCACATGATCATGGCGGTAGTAAGATAGTTGTAATTTAGAAGATGGGTTGTAAATAACTTTTTCTAAGGCCATCATAACTTTGAAATGAACAGTTGTAAGTCAAGGATTACCTGTACTATATTTTTCAGAAGAAATCTCTATTAAGTGCAATGAAACTTACTCTTAAGTATGTATGTATAGCTTTATAGCAACTTAATTTAAGAACAAAAGCATAAAAATCTTATAAAACAAATGATTAAGTGGACCTGTGAAAACAAGTATAGTTTTGAAAGCCAAGGCCTGAATCCTACATCTTGATTCATATCTGTAAGTGAAAGAAAATAATTCCATGAAGTTCCCTAACATCTCCAAGTACATTTGATTAAATCCCATTGGATCCTTTTTTTGGTTAGGTTATATCAAATAATACAAATTCACCACAAAGATGACATAGCTATATCACCATTATCTGATTACTGATTCCTTTAACTGAAAAAGGCAAAGGTTTTATTTCCATTAACCTGTATTAGCATCTATTCCACACATCATTCTCCAAGGACACCAGCTATTGTCCTCACACATAAAGAATTCTGCTCCAGAAAAGAAACTGAAATAGTTAGCATACTGTACACAAATAGCAACAAGTTGACACAAACCCATAGTATATCCATCCAGCAAATTGTTTTATCTGTTTTCCCTTCAGAAAGAATTTTCAGAGAAATCTTTGCACATTTGTTGCATTTGCAGAAGATATTTGGAAGGTTCTGTGGTCCGGCTTCCAATTCTATCTCAATCAGCCAATCCCTGACTGGTTTCAGGAATGAAAGCAAATACATGTGTCCTAGGATTAATGTTGTAGGATCCAATCTAGTCTGGTCACTGGGACCAGAGGTTTCGTGCTGGGGACAGGCTCTAGCATGAGTCTGAAAGCTTGGAAGACTAAACTTCTGACTGGTTTATCCAACAAATCTTGGATTATGGGTTTCTGCAAGAGTATCTGAGAAAAGGCAACAGTTCTATAGAAAAGCGAAAGAAAACTTTTGAAAATGCTTTAGGGTACAGTTTTGGGTCTCTGAGGCTCATGGTTCTGATCTACTAGGAATGTCCCGCCTGTCACACTCTTCTTTGGGAGATAAATATTTTCCGAATTCCAATCACACAAGTCTCCCCATCTCTTCTGTTGTGTTCCTATTGTGCCCAACTCACTATGAGCAGCTGCGAGATATTTCCTATCATTCCTTCTTCCGGGCTGTCAACTAGACTCTTGTTTCATGCCTTCTTATTTTGCGGGAAATTATTTTTGTGGCCTAGAATCTTGTAGGTGCCTTGAGCGTGGCTGGACCACTGCTAAGAGACCCCACGATCTTCACTTTCCTTAAACTATCCGCAAAGGGTATCAATTTGCTTGTGGGGTGGGGAGCGAGAGGGAGATCGACCTTCCTTTTTACAATCTTGCGGAGGAAGCGTCGCCTGCAATTTGGAGCTTGGACGTGTTGGTGGTACCAATCTGAAACAGAAACGTGGAGAAAGGGGTAGGCCGGGTAAGACGCTTAGTTCCCGGAGAATAAAAGCAGGTGCTCCCGGTTGGCAGAACCCGGGCTGGTGTCCTTACAGGTCATTCGGAGGTAGCATCACACACGTGTCCCAGGCCTCTCTGTAGTCACGCGCCCACGCGCGTGTCACGAGATCGCCGGGGTGCGGGCGGGGGGAGAATCTGGAGAGGCTTCGAGCAGGCTGCCTGCTGCCGCTGCCGCCGCCGCCACCACCATCCGCGAGCCGGTAAGCCTTCGCTTAGGCGAGCCCCCTCCCGGGCCTTAGACCGGGGGCTCGGGTGTCCGCGTGCACGCGCGCTGGGGTAGCGGGCGGGGGCGACGGTCCCCGCAGGCAGGATGCGCTGAGCATTACCCAGTTGCCATAGAAACCAGCACCACCACCACCAAAAAAAAAAGGAGGTTGGCGGCCGGCCGGTGGCGAGAAGGAGGGTGGGAGAGGGGAGCGATTTGCCCGCAGTCTTCGCGAAGCAGCAGCTTTAGCCGCAGCTCCGCCGGAGGAAACCGACGGGGCCCCGCTGGAGCGCTTGACGAGCTTTTGAGAGCGGGGCGGGAAAGAAATTGACACCGCCTCGGGTCTGGCTTCTCGGGCTCGCTCACTTCCTCGCTCGCTCGAGGAGGGGGGGACGGTCTCGCTGTGCCTCCCATTCTAAGGGCCGGCCGGGCAGAGCCACGCAGGTAAGCCCTCTTCTCCCTCCTCCCTCCCCGTTGAAAAAAAAGAAACGCAGCAAAGGACGTACCTGGGGCGGACCTTCGGCATCTTCCCCCGCGTCTCCCCCTCAACCCTCCCATCGTCCCCGCTCCCGGTGGATTGAGGCTGGAAAAGAGGGAGCCAGAGCCTGGCTGTTTCTGGATGCCGCTGTAGGTATACGGGCACGTCCGAGAAACAGTCAGGGGCTCCTGGAGCTGTGGGCAACTTGTTGTGCTTCACAAAGTGTTTGTGCCCTTCTTTCTTTCCGATCGTTATCCTTCTTGGTGCTACTACTAGTAGTGTTAATGTTATTACCGTTCCTCCTGGCGTTGCACTTGGCCTGGGCTGCATCTCGCAACGGGCAGGTGCGTTGCCCTGACTGGGCTGAAATGAGTTTTGGGCTACACCGCTGTCACCCGAGGAGGAAGGAGAGGCGAGCGTGTGGCCGAAGGGTTGTTTCTTTCCACCCGCACCCCATATGTAGACATTGATGGATTGATTCGATTGCTGTAGAATTGACCGGCCGTGGGGCAAACAGGCAAACAATATCACCTCCTCCACCCTACCCCACCCCCGGGTGTTTTGCAACTGTGACGCAGTGAGACTGACCTTTCAGGCTTTAGATGTCTGCACCATTCTCTGTTAAGGAGAAATTGCATTGCCTTTTTATGGTGGTAGTGATGGTGGTGTTTTTTTTTTTTTTTTTTAATGATTGGTTGGTTTTCTTTTAAGTGAGGTCGGGCTGTTTGATGTGTCTCATCACCATGATGCCCGAAGAGTCTCCAGAAAGGGAGGGCATTCTGTTTAGCTTTTTATTTTGTTCTTCAAAGAAGATTAGTATAACTATTTGGGAGGGGGGCAGAACAGTCATCTTGCCTCTTTTCATCCGCCTTTCAACCTCTCTTTTGAAATTGCTATTACCAGAGCAGCCAATTAAAATTGTCAGCAGGGGAAATCAAGGCTCCTATCTATCATTTGAGTGTTATTTTAGGGATCTGCAATTCTTTCATTATTAATCTAGGAATTTGGAACCAGGCAAGATTGGCGGAGGCCTAGGGCACAGGGTATGCCAAATTCTTTTTAGCTAAGCGATGTTTCTTGCTTCACAGAGTACTGAACCTTATCCGGCAAGATGCCCTCCAGGTGTCTTACAACTGCAGCTCCTAAAATTCCCATGCCGGTTAGGAATTTTGCCAACTGCAATACCATCGCATCTGGTGGGCACCAGGTTGGGAACATCTAGAGTAAAATGAATGGTTCTGTTAGAGAATAATCTATGGGTAAACCTCAGAGCTGTCCTTTTTCTCATAAACAACAATCTGGGATCACGATTAAATGTGGCCTGTGATTAAAAAGAGGCTTTAAAATATAGGCTTGATTTAAAGGAATGAACCAAAGTAAAAAGGTGGACTGTGTCTCAGATTATATAGCATTCTTAGATACATAATCTGAAACCAAGATCACTTGTTTTCCTTATGCTTTCTTGCAATTTGATTCACGCAGGGCTATTAGGAATGTCTTGAAATCATTTTGTCATCGTGTTTCTGAAATTATAACAATATATAAGTTTTATAGTAATGATGATCAAAATGTGACCATTATTTACTTGGGTGGATTAGGGCATGACATGACAACCATAGAGAGAGAGAGCAGCAATTTAATTATATGATTGTGTGCCCAAGTGGCCATATAAATGGATCCCTTTGATCCCCAATGTTTTTTTTAGTTGTATTGTTTTTCTGGATTTTGAGCTGTAGTCTTGAAACACTATTTTCTGGACATCACTGATGCACCTAATGCAGTCAGAGAATCACATTCCTTTGCTCCTTTATAAATTTTTTTAAAAAAAATAGAAATCAGGATTATTTGAATTGATATGTTATCCTTAATACATAGCAGACACTCCATTTTGAACTTAATGTTGTCTGACTTTGCTTGCAGCCCTGGTTATTTTCTTTCCAGTAACCAGTTCTCTTCTTGGGCTTCTTGTCTTCATGCTCTCATAAATACATTTATTTAACATTAACTTGATTCCCCTCACAATGACAATTGTCTTCCTCCAAACATCATTTTACAAGTCCTTACACAACAGACAAAACTAAGTGACGTCGGTACAAATTAGGACTTGTCAATAGGATTTATTTGGCACAAGTGGCACCCTGAAACAGCTCTTTGTATAGATTCTCTATATGAGCAAATGGCAGCAGATTCAGCATTCTGCTTCATCAGTGGTTAATGAAATCAGCTGAAGATATCAAGATATTTCAGAAATTCAACTCTGCCATTATTGGAAGCACCCCACCCACCCCAAGGCAGGGATGGGCTGTACATAAAATAGAATGAAGTTCAGTAATGAAAATATTTTAGGGATCTATGTGGAGAGATGATAAATATTTAGAATGTCATTCTAGTTTTCTCATTTTTGGTTATTACTCTGCCAATCCTTAGAGCAGAGAGAAATAATACTGTATATTCCAGAATGCAAATAATGAGGAAAATGCAGGTGTTTTCCTTTCCAAATGCTGCATTGGGGCATGTCCAAATGCAGGTTCCAGGGAGATTGCAATGTTTCATCTCTGTCATAATGTGGCTAAAGGAGGATTGATAATAAGTTATGCGTTGTGAGGATAAATATGCCTGAGTCTTGTCATGGAAGAACACAAATGTAATAGCTATAGTACATATGCTTCTGAATTCATTACGTTGTCCTATACCAATCAGGTTTCACTGACTGAGAAAACCTCTCAATCTGGCAACTGTTTTGTTGTTTACTTTTGGCAATATAATAATTTATTGGTGATTTCTTAAAAAAACAAAACAGTCTGTCACTCAAAATTGGTAAACAGTACTGGTTTTTGCAAGTTTTCATCTTTGTTTCATACCCCAGAAGGAATGAGAATGCATTGACAAAGGAAATAGAAGATAGCGGGAAATATATGGAGATTTTATTGGAGTTATTTTGCAGTCAGAATACTGAAAAGAAAAAAAAAGATTAGCTTAAATTTAGCAATCAGCATTTCCCCCAAATTCTTTCTTTTCCTCTGTATGGAAGGATAAATAAAAATGATGGACAAGAAATAAGAAATCACAGAAAGTTAGATCATCTGAAAAGCAGATACTATGATTATATAATACTGTGTAGTGCATAATATTGCCCAGAATTATAAAATATTGGGGTGGCCTATAAATCTCATAAATAAATACCCTTATCAAAAAGGATATGATATTGACCCATTTCAATGTTGCTTATATTTTCTCTTTTATGATGTACAAGGCAAACCTATTCTATTAAGGCCCAATGACTGCCAAGCAATAAAAGAGAACTTAAGATATTAAATTATGATCAGACATTTTAATTGGATAGTTTCCTTAACCTATGGTGGGGTCCATACTGATTTTAGAAGCCAGTTGCACAATGAAATATAAACTTTAAACGACCCACAGCTTTTTCTACTGTGGCAACTGCTTAACCCATCTTTATGGATATATATTCGAATAAAGGTATTTAATTTATTGTACCATTATAATTAATTACACATTAAACTTCCATTGCATATATCAACTGAAATATACATAGTTTCAGGGGTGGGCTGCTGGGGGCTCCAGGGACTCAGGAAAGCCTGTAGCTAAGACTCTGTGGGGCTTGGAACCTCAGAAAGACAAGCAGCAAGGGAAAGCTCTTATTAATAGGTTTAATTGAACTACTTGGCCTTAAACCAAGAGCATTTCACACCTCGTAAAAGTGTTGCAAGCTAGATAAACAATCCCCTCAGCACTTACGAGGGAGAGCCATTGAGAAAACCAGATAACATAGCCAGTAGCCTCTGAGGGGATTAATTCCCAAATAATAAGAATCACGTAACTCACCAGAAACTCCACTAAGACTCCAAGATCCCTCTCACAGTCACTGCTATTAAGCCTGGTTGCACCCAGACTTTTATTTAAGTATTAACTGCACAAAATAATAAACAACTTTTTGGTATATATCTTTTTTTAGGTAATTAGGGCAAAGTTGGCCACACCCACCCAGTCACATGATCACCTAGCCATGCCCACCCGATCATATGATCACCCAATCACATGACCACCTAGCCATGACCACCTAGACACGTCCACCCAGCCAGTCATTAGGGCAGAGAGCCCCTTGCTAAAAAAATTGAAACCCACCCCTGCATAGTTTGATTGTAATCCTTTTAACAATTCTGTTAAGGAGGTTGGAAATAGGTTCACACATATTGTTATGCTAGATTTGTTTTAACCATAGTTTGTTGACTAAGCTACAAATTTTATGTTTATTCAAACCATAAGCCATGGCTGTTATTATAGAAATCTGGTTATAATTTCATGACAATTATTTTTCTTCATAATAAAGATCTTAGGATGAAGGCTGAAAAAGAGCAACCTGCTTTAAGATTACAGAAATTAGCCATTAACTACCTGAATCATTGCACAATCTTCAACTATGGTGGTGTGTCTTCTCCTAAGAAGAATCATAACTGATTTGAGGCCAAAATATTTTGGTGCCTGAGGTAAAAGAACAAATAATACCCTCCCCTAATGTTAGAGTGCAAAATAAACTTTCACTAATAAAGGTGCAATGTTAGATTCAAGAGAATTTGAATAATCTATATATATAAAAGTGAAATACCACTCACACTTCATCACAATATCTCCAGAACCGTAACTCCTACAAACTTGAAATTTGGCACGTATGTTCCTCTTGGCTTCTAGGTGCTCTCTTAAAAAAGGATTTTTTGAAATGACCATCAGAGCATCAGTATTTCGTATATTATTATTAATACGCTCTGATGCTAAGGAGTTCTACTCCCCCTCCTCCCCACCTGAAAAGAGTTCTGTTCCAAATGCAAAACACAAGCAGAGGAGAAGAGTTTCAGTTTTAGTTTCACAACAACCAGCTTTAGTACACAACAGTTGAGCTAAGCCACATCCAGACTCCTTGCTGTTTCCTTCTTGTTCACACAGCAAATACTGTTTCAGTTTAAATGTTTCAGTTTCCAAACAGTCCTCAACTCTCTCACACACTACAAGACGCTAGCCAGATGAATACCGATGGATGCTGGTAGGCAAAGCCACAATTTTTCCCCCTTATTTTCCTCTCCAAAAACTAAGCCCGATCACATAGATCACATAGTTTCATAGCGAAGCACGGTTATAGAGCTAGTAATGTCTAAACAGGTTGTGTGAATTCTGAAACTTTCCATGTCAGCATCCCATATAACTTTTTAAAAATACATGTTGATGCAAAAGCTTACAGAAGTTCAGTAGGACATTTGGTCATCCATAGGATCTTGTTGTTTGTATCTATATAGCATTGTTGCTCATTAATTATTGAGGCAAAGACATACGTAGAAATTATGTGTTATGCTTGTAATTTATTACAAATAGTGGTAATAGCATTAGACTTTTCTTAGTGCAGGATTTGAATTACCTTTGTTCAAAACTGTAGTACACAGAAATATATATACAGGACCAAGCATAGCAGTTGCTGATGCTTAAAAGCAAATTGGCTCCAATATCTTATTTCACTCATGAGCTGAATGGGGGCTGAAGCAGGAAATTTGGTGTCGCATGGCACCATAAATACAAGTGTGGGGGCTTATGCACACTGCCTGGTTGTCCTCTTGTCAGAACAGGCTGGCAACCATTTCTAAAGAGAATTAAGTGGCATCATCCTTTATTAATCTCCTACAAGTCAATGTTTTGTTTTTGTGGCACACCTTTCCATCATCTCAAATACTCCTGTCTATTTTGGATACCTTACCTGAGTTTGTTGCAGGCTAACCTAAACAGTTTACTGGTGACTTCTCAGAAGCAAAGGCAAGAAGTCCCTTCAATTGAGTCACTGCTAGTCTCTGTTACGTTTTGGATCTACTCTTACAAGGAAGAATTACCAAGCTCTAATATCACAAACGCTTTCTACAGGTGATCCTTGACTTACAACCACAATTGAGCTCAAAATGTCTGTTGTTAAGTGAGACATTTGTTAAGTGAGTTTTGCTTCATTTTATGACCTTTCTTGCCACAGTTGTTAACTAAATCACTGCAGTTGATAATTTTCCCATTGATTTTGCTTGTCAAAAGGTTGCAAAAGGTGATCCCATGACCTTGGGACACAGCAATGGTCGTAAGTACGAACCAGTTGCCAAGCCTCTGAATTTTGATCACATGATCATGGGGATGCTGGAAAGGTCATAACTCTGAAAAACGGTCACGTCACTTTTTTTCCAGTGCCATTGTAACTTTGAATGGTCACTAAATAAACTATTGTAAGATGAGGACTGCCTGTATAACACTGTAAAAAGAAGGCTGTTTATCTGAAACTTGGCAGAAACATTATTTTCCCAATCTATGCCTGGAAAAGGAATAAAGGATATATACCACTTAAAACAAGCAAACAAACACAGGAAAAAGTACGAAATTCAGCAAAAGAAAACTAGCCATTTTTTTTTAAGTCTGCCAGTTTTTAAACCAACATCATACCGTTACATTACAAGGCGGGTGCTACTATCATTTATTCTGTCATTTAATATTCATAATAAAGCTCCAGAGTACATTAGAAATCATACAGGTAGAAAGAAGGTGTTTTTAAAGTGCTTGCTATGTCTGCATGAAGGTGCATTTAATAACGTTGTGTACATATATCCAATTGTTGTTATGTTACATTACGTTGTTATGTTATGTTGCTATGTTTAGTGTGCCAATTAATATATTGGCAACGGCTTTCCTGGAAAGAAAGATGGGAAGGCACAGCAGGTGAATTGTGCAATGGGAGGGCATAGTGGCATGCTTTAGCAATAGCACTTAGACTTATATACAGCTCCATAGTGCTTTGCAGCAGTGGTCGCCAACCAGTGGTGACCAATAGTGGTCCGCAAGAAAATTTTGGTGGTCCGCAGAGAAATGTCATCCCCAAAGCACCCCCCAAAGCAATTAATCCAGGCTGCGCGGGAACACAAGGCTGTGCTGCCCCACATGGCTTGCGGGAACAAAAGGCTTATGTCGCTTGCATTGCAAACAACATGAGGTAGTGAGGGGAGGGGGGAAAGGGCGGAGGGGGGAACTTGCCCCACTCACCCCATGTGCCTGGCCTGGTCACTGGGCTACTTCTTTCCACTTCTTTCTTCTTCTGCTTTTGGCTACATGCAAGGAAAGCAGCAAAAGTCTTTCTTTCTCTCCCCCAAACTCCATCAGAAATGAGTCTTTGGGACCCTGCAAGACATCCTGCTCCAAGAGGCTGCGCTGGCATGACAAGTCTCACAAAGACTCATTCTGGGTGAAGTTTGGGGCAGAGAAAGAAAGACTTCTGCTGCTTTTGCTGCTTTCTTTGCATGAAGCCAAAAGTCTCTCTCTCTCTCTTTCCCCCTGAGAATGGAGCTGGAGATAGTATCCTGCAATCCCAGATAAAGAATGATTGATCAGTAGGAAAACGGGGTGGGGAATTTTCCTGCAGACTTTTTTTGGGATTTTCCCAGGGATTCTGCTGCTTTCTGCAGAGGCCCTGGGAAAACATCATCAAGCCACCATGAGTCAAGATTCATATTAGTGGTCCGCAAGATTTAAAATTATGAGTTTGGTGGTCCCTGAGGTCCAAAAGGTTGGCGACCCCTGCTTTACAGCATTCTCTGGATGGTTTACAGTGTCAACATATTGCCCCTAACAATCTGGGTCCTCATTTTATGGACCTCGGAAGGATGGAAGGCTGAGTCAACTAGCTATCTGGGCTGATACCTGCACATTGTTGATACAGCATTTCAGCCTAGACAGTTTAAGCAGTAAGTGCAGATATGTCTTTAGAATGTTTAGAGTGATTTTTTTAAAAATGCCTTCCAGAATGTAGTTCTTTAGTTTAGTTTAGTTTACTTTACTTTACTTTATTGTCATTGCACCTTGTACAATGAAATCAAACACCATCTTCAGTGCACATCATGACCATGACCATGAAAATAAACACAAACACACATCCTTCACCCTTCACACATTGAACCGGAAACCCCCGACACCACATCAACACTGCACTATACAGCAGAATTCAAAAGAGCTACTGCCCTGGGATAGAAGCTGTTTTTCAGCCTATTTGTCCTTGTTTTTATTATTCTGTACTGTCTGCCAGATGGTAATAGTTCTTGATATGAGGTTGATGTTTAATGTTAAACATGTAATACGTGTTGTAAATATTTTGATCAAAAAGAATTTGGCTCCAGTTTTTGCTCAGAAAGGATCAAAATTGGTTGATTTTGAGTTGATCACTATGTCTCAGCCTAATTTATCTCAAAGGATTGTAGTCAAAATAAAAAATGGAGCATTGCTTTTGAGTAGGGATTGCATGATTTTAAAAAGTGACATCAATTTAAGATCTACTAGTGGCCATAAATCGTGAGCAACAAATGTAACCTATAGCTTGCATACCCATGATCTGGGGGCGGGGGGGCCAGAGAAGACAGCTTTTGGCTTCATGATTCTTTATACATTGCAAACCTTGAAAAAATAAGTTGATTAGATAGATTCCATGTCTAATTCTGCAGGATTTCATATAAATAAAGTCTAATGCAATGAAGGGAAAGAAAACCCCTCAAGAAATTCAGATACAGAAGAGTTAATCAAAACTAAAGATGCCAATCTAGATAGTGGGCAGAACCAGCAAAGTCTAGTGAGACTCAGACTCTGACTAGAAGCAGGAAGGTTTCCATTTTTCTCTGATGAATTTTAAAAGGGGATGGGACCAGCTCTATTTTGCCTTTTGTTGTTGTTGTTTCCTTTCTATCATGGGAATACAGTGTCTCAGTCTGACTCCAGCCAGGTAAGAATAACTCATTACCCTAGAAGAAGGCGGGAGAATTAAAAGAAGTTAACTATCTAAAGAAATGTGGAGCTAGATGTGAATGAAGTTCTTTTATAGAAGTCAGCATTGTGGATTGATCCAAGCTGATTTTTTAAAATCTGTGTTGATCTATTTTGTTCTGCCTTGGTTGAATGTGTGTGTGAGAGAGAGGGGAGGGAGGGAGAGAATATCTCTTTGTGTATTAGTAGTTGGAAGATTAGGTACAAAATGAAAGGTTCATATTTTTCTCTTCCTTTTCTCCCACTGCTTTGAATTTTCAGTTAGGTCTCTAATCTTAATCTATATAATAAACCACTGGAATCTGCTTCTGAAATCAGCAATCTTATTCTGACAGGGAGTCATAATACAACGTATCCTGGCTACTTTGTTCATTGTAGTAAGGCTACTAGGCTGAATAAAGGTACAAAGAGGAATAATTCAGATGAACACAAATTGATCTTATTTGCAGATGACATTCTTCTGTTTATTTTTAAGCCTCACACTACACTACCGTCCAATGTTGATCAAAAGATAAATGTCTTTAACAATATAGCAGGTTACTGTATTAACTGATCCAAATCAGAACTGATGCCTATAGGTGAAATTTTTGTTACCCATCCATTTAAGGAATATCAATTCTGGTTTCTATCGAATCCATTAAATATCTGTGTATACTAAAGGATCTAACTCAGTTAGCAACATGTAATGTATAATGAGATTTCTTCAGATATTGATAGATGGGAATTATTAAACCTTATCCTTTGAGGAAAGTGAATGCTCGCAAAATGAATATTATTCCCAGATTAATTTATATTCCATGAGGAATTCCAATTTATATGTCTGGGAAAGAATTTCAGAACATACATTTTAAAAAATTCTGTGGGATTTTTAATTCCAAGAATTTCTTTACAGAAAATATAATCACCAATTAATGAAGGAAGATTCAGCTTTCCAAATCTGGACTTA